GTGAATATTTTTATAGCGCAAACGTCTATTTAATTTTTTTTTATTTTACTGAAGCAATTTCTTTTCTTATCAGTACAGATTTATATGTATGTTCTAATTTAGGTTCTCTCGTAGTTTGTTGTAAAATTATACAATAGAAGTATTAAGTACAAATTAAGCATTTAGCTTATTGTATATTTTGAAAAAGTATAAATCATGTCATACACGCAGACATACATTAATTGATGCAATATACCTGTATCACATACGTATGTATATCGTAATTATATCGTTAGTATCTCTAAAATTATAATACCGCTTATAATATATTTATAAATGTTCTAAAAAATTATTATAATGAAAAGTTACCATTTTGATAATATTACTTTACGACTTATATAAAATGTTAGAAAATAGATTTTATAATAATGTATATTAAACGTACGTAAAAAGTTTTTTTTTAACAATATCGTATTTCTATTAATATTTCTTGCTTAAAATTATATGTTTTAAATGTTTTTATATGTATTTTTTATATATTAAAATATTCTTACGACATTATTATATAATTATGTTGTGTTATAACTCATGTGTGCACTTGTAGGTTTTTTCCTTTTCTTTCAAAAAAAATAATTCTGTATTAATACGAAATTATTAAAAGATCATCGTTACACGTAATTCTTTGCGTAATAGCGATTAGTGGATAAATTGGAGTGGCACGTAGTCCAAGGTTATCTCTCAACGATTTGTATTCATCTTAGAAGCTTGCTAACATAATATTTGTATGTTGTTTTTTTAAAATTGTTAATTACCGAGAGCTATTTTTAAAATCAAATAGCTGGTTATGATATTTAAACATTCATTTTAAATGTAATATTCCTTTAAGAGATACATGATATAAGAGATAAATATAAAATTCGTTGCTGTAGCTATTTTACGCGTGATCGCACTCGGGGATTGTACAATCACGTTAGCTGTGATTTTTTCATCGGTATATCATATATACAAGATAAAGATTTTGTATTTCGATGCGTTTCTAATTTGCTTTATTTGCTCACTCGAAATTAACGGAAGGATTATAATTTGGTTTTATTGCTTATGCTTATTAACTAGATCCAAGTTTACGCTCGATCACCGACAAGCTGATGTTGACCGGCAAGCTGTGGAAGGAGTGAAGAATACACGCACTTTGCAACAACTCGTGTCGACCGTGCGCTCTAGTGTGGCCTTGAATTACAATTCATGAAGTTGTCAGTCGGCAGTTGGCAAATTGTAATCGAGTCATTCCGTCAATTAGGATCACGGCGTTTCACGTTTGTGCGATTGTTCATTGGGATGCAGTATCCAGGTATGTTTATGTCTTATACATTTTGTATCTTTTTTCAATCTCACATCTTTTTCTTTTAAGTGATAATTTTTAAACTAGCTTTGTTAGATTTTCTTAAAATTTGATGTAAAATTAAACAGCGCAAGCGTTAAATAAGTATATTAATTAATTGAGCATTTAACTTATTATACTTCTTAAAAAAGTATAATTAAATAGCACAATATATTATATCATTGACAATTGCAATATTTCGTCAATTTTTTTTTAAACACGATAGAATTTTTTAAAGTAAAATCAAGATTCACTCTTTATTAGCCACGATTTCAACAAATATTGATGTGCGTAAATCAGCTAACATATATATCTCGTATCTCTACTGATTGCACGTCGTATCGTCGTGATAATACCAGAAGCGTCCCCCACCCCCTCCCCGTCGTTTTTTTCACAGTAAAGTATACGCGCACATCTCACGTACATATTTATAATGTTCTACGCAGTGTCCGACGAAGCTTCTCGTTTGGCTTACTCTGTCACATCACAATGGATACATTATTGCTTCCGTCGCCTTTCGTGCTATTATCGAGTGCTCTGGTCGTGATCAGCGTTCTGAAAATTATCACTCTCCTGCATCGTTTGTATTTTTATTGGAAAAATAAGGGCCTACCTTACTTGCCAAAATCATTTTCATCTCTTCTTATGGATTGGAAATTGCTTTTTGGTTACATCTCTTTCCCTGAATATTTTCAATATTTGTACAACTACTATCCAGATGCTAAATATGTTGGAGTGCTGGATTTTTTCAAGCCTACCCTGCTTGTGCGTGATCCCGAACTGATTAAAGACATCGTCGTGAAGAATTTTGAACATTTCTCGGATCACCGTGACTTCATTGACGAAAACGTAGAACCGTTGTTTAGCAAGAGCTTGTTTTTATTGCGCGGCGATCGTTGGAAGGAAATGAGGACTACACTGACCCCCTCTTTCACAGCCAGCAAAATGAAATTTATGTTCGATTTACTATCAAAATGCTCTCGCGATTTCGTCAACTATTTGGAGGATCATCCGGAGCTTTGTCATGAAATCGAAACGAAGGAGGCCTTTAGCCGATACACCACCGATGTAATTGCTACAGCAGCCTTTGGTATAAGTGTGAATTCTATGAAAGATCGAGACAATGAATTCTATATAAGAGGAGTAGAGGCTACTAAAATTCTTACAAGACCACTAGTGATAGTCAAGTTAATAATTTTACTCACGTGTCCTCGGCTTGCTAAATTAATTGGTTTGACTTTCTTTCCGTCGACTACGTACGAGTTTTTCAGGAAGATTGTACGGGAAACAATTAAAGCGCGAGAAGAACAAGGTATCGTCAGACCGGACATGATCCATTTGTTAATGCAGTCTCGGGATAAAGAAAGTAATAGTGTACACAAAATGTCATTAGACGACATCATTTCGCAAGCTTTTAGCTTTTTCTTTGGAGGTTTCGACACCTCTTCGGCTCTGATGTGTTTCGTTGCCCAAGAACTGGCGATTAATCAAGATGTTCAGGATCGTCTGCGCAAGGAGGTACAGCAGCATCTTGCCGAAGGAAACGGTGAGATTTCTTACGACTCGCTAATGAAGATGTCTTACATGGACATGGTGACTTCTGAGACTCTTAGAAAATATCCACCAACGGTTTTCCTTGATAGACGTTGTGCTAAAAGATACGAACTGCCTCCATCGCAACCAGGCCGCAAGAATATAATTATTGAACCTGGCGATCCGTTGATATTGCCTACTTATGCTATACATTACGATCCGAAGTATTTTCCGAACCCGAATAAATTCGATCCCGAAAGATTCAGCGACGAAAACAAAGATAATATATTACCTTACACTTATTTCCCATTCGGTCATGGTCCTAGAAAGTGTATCGGCAATCGATTTGCTCTCATGGCGACGAAGATTCTGATTGCTCATCTTTTACAAAAGTTTACGTTTAAGACTGTGGATAAAACTGTCGAACCAGTTGTATTCGCTAGAAGAGAATTTTCGTTGAAACCTATTGGCGGATTCTGGATTAGCTTGGAGAAGAGAGAAATGTAAAAATCTTATACCAGACAGTTTTTCTACAATGTGTGTAGTTTGTTCGGATGAATTATTACCGCATTTCAAGAACTTTCAATATATTTTACATTACTATGCATAACATATGCTCAGATAGAATGGTAAAATTAAGCTCTTTCTAACGAGAAATATAAAAATTAAATGTTATGATAAATATTGTGATTTGCTTGTTTTTGAGTAAACTTAATTATGCTCGAGTATTTTGATGTCTTAAACATATATTTTCCACAGATTAACTGATACTAAAATAGAGGTGATATGATTAATACCTTATATGAGTTTAAACATGGTTATCGCGCAAAGTTTATTGAACTTCTTGAGCTTAATTCTTTTCTTCTTCATACAGATTATATTTATTTGTTTAGTTATCTTCATAATTTAACAGTATAAACATTAAACAAAGATATAAATTAAGGATTTAACTTATTATATTTCTTAAGAAAGCGTAGATATATAACATATGTATGTAAATCTCTAAAATCATAATGTTTCGTACAATATCTTCATTAAAATTCTCAAAAATTCAATTGAAACGAAAAGTTATCGTATTTTGACTATATTATTTGATTAGTTATATATGATCACAGAAAAGAGACTTTATAAAGGTATATACTAAATATACAGAAAAAATATATTTTCCTTTCTCCTAGACGTTTTCTTACTCTCGATCTTATCTTCTCGTTCTTTATCTTTCTCAGACTTTCGCTTCCTTTTCCTCTTGACTTCTTCTTATCTACTCCTTTCAACTCTTTCTCATTTTCCCTCTGATTATCAGCCTATCTCATTCAAAGTTAGTCGACATCTATTAAACCATTTATATCTGGGTGAAATATCTTTATTTGCTTTTACGTATAAATACATCACATATTTTTCTTAAAATGCTTAATTGTATTACAAAGTCGTATAATATTTTATTTGACATAAAATGTTTAATATTAAAACATGATAATAAAAAAATTATTTGATGTACTTATATTTTATTTTATTTAGTGCGTTTTTGTGATACCATATCTATTTTTTTTTAAAGTTTGGCGTTTAGAGATTAAAATAAGGAAATGAAATTTTTTATTATATACTTTTGCTGTTTTTAATATGCATTAGTTATTTCTCGTAATGATCTGGGACATTAAATCTACAATGCAAGAAGTGCATGATAAATATATAATAACTGTTACATAATCAATAACTAGTTTCGTATCGAAAGGTGTCATTAATTTATATTAAAACGTGAAACAGATTTTTTTAAAATTAAATTAATAAAGTTTGGTTTTGATAGAATCCATGATAGTAAAAAATATCTTTGTTCGTAAATCGACTAACGATTCTCGTGCAATTACTATCGCAACAAGTAATATCGTGATTATATCGAGAAACGTTTCCCCTTCCCACCGACTTTTTTCCTCCAATATAGCCTTCGCAAACGTACCACGCACATAACGTTCTACGCAGTGTCCGACGAAGTATCTCGATTTGTGCGTTACTCTGTCGCATCACGATGGATTTATCATTTCTTCCGTCACCTTTTGTACTATTATTGAGTACTCTGATCATCATCAGCGTTATGAAAATTATCACTTTTCTGCATTATACATATTTTTACTGGAAAAATAAGGACTTACCTTATCTGCCAAATTCGCTATCATCTTTTATAACAAGTTGGAAAATACATTCGGGTTCCATTAGTTTTGTCGATTTTTGTCAATATTTGTACAACTACTTCCCTGACGCTAAATACTTTGGAGGAGTGGATTTCTTCCAGCATGTCTTGATTGTGCGCGATCCTGAGCTGATTAAAAACATCGTGGTAAAAGATTTTGAACATTTTCCGGATCATCGAAACTTCTTTGACGAAAGTGTAGAACCGTTGTTTAGCAAAAACGTCTTCTTATTGCGTGGAGATCGTTGGAAAGAAATGAGGAATACATTAAGCCCCTCCTTCACAGCCAGCAAAATGAAGTTTATGTTCGGTTTACTATCAAAATGTTCTCACGATTTTGTCGACTATTTGATCGACCATCCGGAGCTTTGTCATTCGATCGAAACGAAGAAGGCCTTTAGACGATACACTGCCGACGTAATTGCTACAGCAGCCTTTGGCATAAGTGTGAATTCTATGAAAGATCGAGACAATGAATTTTATGTAAATGGAGTGGAGGCTACCAAATTTTCTACAGGACTACTAAGGATGACCAAGTTTATGATTTTAATCATGTTTCCACGATTTGCCCAATCAATTGGGTTGACTTTTTTTCCATCGACTACGACCGAGTTTTTCAAAAAGGTCGTACAGGAAACAATTAGAGCGCGAGAAGAACAAAATATTGTCAGACCGGACATGATCCATTTGCTAATGCAATCCCGGGATAAAAAAAGTGATAATGTACACAAAATGTCATTAGACGA